GTATAGAATTTTTATTCCATCCTCTGTAGTGCCCATCGGAGGCAGATGCCAACCATGGTTTGGTCGCTTCTGTAAAATGGCATCACACTATAAGCAGGAGTGCTACCAGGCCTGGGCTGACGCATCAACGTCTCGGGATGTAAACACCAGCGCTCTTAAAAAGAAGTATAATTGCGCCTCCAGGTTCTTCAAAAGAGTCATTGCCAAGGTAAGGTCTGAGCACATCGGCAGAATTGCGAAAAGTTAGTTCGCCTTCCTTCAGATACTCACGCATTCTGGTCTGTCACCAAGGCTGTCCAAGGGAACTTCTGTCAGTCATCTCTTCCATCTCTGCACAGAGTGGACGACTTACTGGCCCATGCCGCAAAGGAGAAATCCCATCTGTTAGGCTCTCTCTTTACGTCAAACTTGACTCTCGATGACGAGGGGGAACACACCATCGACCATACCACGGTGTGAGTGCTCCATGCCAGATGTGCGGTTTACACAGCGCTCGGTTCGCAAAGCACTCCCTGGAAGTCAGAAAGTTGAGTGGGCCTGATAGAGTCCCTCCCATTGCGCTGAAGACGTTTGCTACGGAGTTGGCACCGGTTTTAACGCGTCTTTTCCGGTACTCCTACTCCCTAGACGTAGTCCCGAATTCATGGAAGACAGCTTTGGTCCACCAGATCCCTTAAAAAGGCGACCGCTCAGACCCGTCCAACTACAGGCCTATCGCCATCACATCCTTGTTTTACAAAATAATGGAGTCCATTATAAACTGCCAGCTCATGAGGTACCTTGAGGATCACCAGCTGGTTAGTGAACGCCAATACAGTTTTCATCGTGTTCGATCGGCTGGTGATCTTCTGGTCTACCTGACATATATAGACATTAGGCAATATTTCTGTTATTTGTTCCTAAAAAAAGATGTGATTTTTAGTTTTCGGTTATTTTCTAGTATTTATAAACAACGTGTCTGTACCCGATTAGTTAAGTAAATGCTTTAAAATGGGTGTGAACAAGAATTTATTTTAATTTGCGCGTTTACCGATAAAAAGAATCCCTTTGACGTATCTTCTCAGCTTCAAGGCAATCCCCTTGCTGCCTCAGCTAGCATCGGAATCCTTGGCGTCGACTTATCGAATAGTTTGCAGTTTCGTGGTCAAGCACCGCCGAGTATGCGGCTCATCTAATGGTAAGTGACTACCGCCGCCTATGAACAACCTCAACACCAGCCTTTTAGAAAAGAATAAGCTCATTTCTTTAAAGTCCCTTAGTCGTATCGGTCCGGAAAATCACCGGTGGTAACAATACCACAGAGTTGTACGAGGAAGAAAGCTCCTAGTAAAATGCTCAGTGGTGGACCACCAAGCATCCAGATGGTAAGGATGGTATCGTGATGTTTGACGCGATGTACGTTCGTGAAATTTGGCGGCTGGAATTAACCCGAACAATTCCTCAAAACACTCCCCGTGGTAGAACCTTTTGTCACATACACGACCACTCCATTACTTTGATTGAGATGAAAATTTGTAACGAAACATGAATTGTATCATAGTATTTGGGATTATTTTGTGATCCGTAAGCCAACATTCTGTTAATACATATATATATATATATATATATATATATATATATATATATATATATATATATATATATATATATATATAAAATACATACATCCAATAATATCTGGATCAAATTTAAGTGTGTGAGGGTCAGGATGTAGATCTTCAATTTTAGGTACTGTAAACACTTCTAATATTTTGAGAAATGATTGTTAAATCACTATTTTGTACGCAAACATTTTTGATATATCCTCTAAATCAAAGCGAACAGCTTGTACTGTCTCCGTAGCATCAAGGTCATTTAAAAATTTTATGGAGCTATTCGTTCCCGTAAACGATATATATGCGAGTGTAACATAGATCGCGTTTGTGAGGTCTGACACAGTTTTTAAGTTGCCAATAGACAATCAGTTCACAATTTATGTTAACTGAAGAAAAAGATTTCGGTCTATTAATTTACGAGGATTAAAGTTTGCAAAATGAAATTAAGTTGTCAATTACGTTAGGTTGTAAATAAGTGTGTATGAATTTTAGATGTTATACATAGTTAACAATGACATATAAGTATAGTGTGTTATTTGTATGCAAAGTATGAAAATAAGTGTGTATAGTGTAGCGCTGAGGTTTGTGTGACAATGAAATTGTTTCAATAGAGAGATCAATAAAAAATAATTAAACATTTCATGAAAATAAAGTGTACAGAGAACATAATGAACATTTGTGGATACAAGAAAAAAATTATTAATATTATGTTTTTATAAGAATATTCTACGGTTAACACTGTACCTAGTCGTGAGTCCTGTTGGAGTTGTTGAATTTGTGCTTCAGATTTAATTATTATTATACGAGAGTTGTCGTCTTTTCTCACATAAACTTTACCATAAGTTGTCGAACAGAATTTATATTTCTTTGATCTGACGAGGTCTCGGGCGAGGAAGTGTAGTCCAGAGCCATTTGCTGTGAGCTGCTCTGAAACAAAGATGGGAGTATCTTCTTCTGTATGAAATCCCAGGTGCTTAGCAGATAGCTTAATCTTATGCTTGATATTAAAGGCATTGCTCATTTTTAGTATTTCTGCTTTTAAAAGTGTTGAACATGTTTCGACGATAATTGAAGTATTGCTTAAACTATCCTACTTTCCGCGCACCTTATAGATGTCCTTGATATCAGTCTTATTTAAGTTGCAACCAATGTTCTGCGACAAATATGTTAACATGTTAATGAGATCTTCTTTTTGGATTTTAATTTCAAAATTCGTTTTACGGTTGTTCATTTGCATGTCTTCAATTTTGTTCTGTAACAGCGTAATATAGTTTCTGTCCTCTTTTATCTTGCTTTCTAAATGCTCTATTTTCTTCCGAAAGTCTTCATTTTACGCAGTTAAAAATGTGACTAAACTTTCAATGTTATTGTTTGATTGTTGAATGTCTTTCAAAGTGTTAGTAATATGTTTAAATTATTGTTTTTGCAACGCCAATGCGAAGAATATCATATTCTTAATTTCCTCCTTAAGGTTGGTAAAGTCCATATTAATATTGTCGACTTCCCTCTTTCGCTTGCTGTGAGAAAAAGCATAGTTGCGGGGGGGGGGGGGGGGGAGAATTATAGTGTTGCGCGTCGTAATTAATGCCTGGTACATGGCGAGTTACCACTAGCGCCACCTAGTATCGAGTAGCAGAACTAGGAGAGTCAAGATCTTTATAAGAAATTCCATACTAGAACTTTCTACACCTAATCTGTCGGGACCGGTATGTACTCGATCATTCAGACGTTTCAGTAGAATAGGCCCTATATACGGCCGCTAAAGACCGCGACCGAGTGAGTGTTAAATTGGTTATTCAAGTGAATACTTCGAAGCGATATAACTGCGAACTAAAGTGACCAGTGGTACAATTGTGTTTTAATATTAGTGTGTTTAAAGTTGTAATTGGTGTTCTGTAATTAAAGTGTCAATTTTGGTAATTCAATTGGTAGTTTTTACGAACCCCAAGCTCGCAACAACATAAATGTTGGATTATGTTCGTAATCACTTGAAAATTTTATAGAGTATATTATGCATAACTTAAAAGAAAACACTTCACCCTTAGTCTATTTACTATTATTTAAAAACTTTATTGTTTAAACACTAAAGGTGACAAAGGGTGGACTTAAAGTCAGGTAGCTGTCTCCACGTCAGTCAACCCACGGCGTGGTGAAAAATTGGACCTCTCATAAAACAACTCGTCCCTTATGGGTGTTAAATGAGCACACTGTTTGAACAACTCTCGGCACACCGATTGAGGAGAGAGATTATGTACTTTAATAGTTTGACCGCTAATATCCTCTAAGTTGTGCGTGAAAATTCCCTTAATCTTAATGTTTAAGCGATACGAGCTACTGCCGCTAGTTCGCTTACCATCGATGCCATCAATACGTAACTCTTCAACGTAACTCTTCTTTGAAGAGTTACGTATTGAGGGCATCGGGGTGCTAACTTTTTAGCCATGTATTCTTCTATGAGTGTCATGGTTGAACCTTCATCCAGAAGAGCTGTAGACTTGACCTTCCCTTTACTTTTGCAACTCCACCGGTATAATTTTTTAAATATGCACATGACAGTGCATGGTATCTATCTACACCGCACCCTTCACCCTCCACTTCGACTTGACAGGGTGATAGATATTGAAATCATATAAAACGTGGCACTACGTTTTCACATTTTTGTTTCATGGGGAAATTATATTTTCATTAAACATTATTATTAACGAATTTATTTGAAATTTTCGAAAATAGCATCTTAGAGTAACCTGTACTTAAAGAACTGTCGCGCAGCGGTCATTCGTCGGGGTCACGGATCATCACATCGCATCATTGAAATTAAAACGAATAAGCAATACTATTGAAGGAAAGAGACATCCCTTTGTCGGCGAGCGGGTGGCGCAGGCGACACGTGACACCTCCCACCCCGCCGCACCGAAATCGAATTCTTTTTTTGCAAAACCAAGAAAGTAGTGCTAGCCTTTACACACAGTAGTGCGCATAATTACGTCGACGAATATTTTGTAAATGTTTACGCGAAAAGTGGCACCCATTCAGGTCTATACAAGTACATACTCTGCTATCGCGTGATACATTAACCTTTAACTACCAACCTATACGTCTCACAGACGTAATAACTTTTAATTTTGAAATATTTCTAAAATCACGCCACCTTCAGCGTCGCTCTTCCCGCTACCATCCTCCCTCCGCGTCACAAGCCATCAGTCGACTCCTCCACCCCCGGCGAGTGCACACGTCTCCGTATCAAAGCGATCGACGTCTCACAGACGTAAGTTTATGTACTCAATTTCGTACGTCTCTTGGTCGTCACCTCGGTATTCATGTGTGGTAGCTTATAGGGTCTGATTGACGTAACATCGGCTTTAGAATTATACTTTTAATTGCAGATTGCCTAAAAAGAGAAACATCATGTCTAGTGAACGGAAAAAACCTGCAAATGATGACAGTTTAGTTCCCGAGAAGCCTCCGAAACTGCGAAAACAGAATAGGCGTTTAGAAGATAAAGAGATAGGTGAAAATCTCATAAACGAGAGTGACGACAACTGTAGTAATTTTGACGACGATATAGGCGATCGAGGCGGCAAGGGGTGGATACCTCATCCGACAGGACACGAAGTGCTCGAATAACTCATGCTCTCGAAGAACTCGACATTTTACCAATGACTTTGTTTTACAGGTTGATAGATATGAGCGGTGTTAATACTTATGTATTGTACAACAAGTGCACAAACAAGGGCGATATCAGTCGTTGCCGATTTTTACTCCTGCTGGCACGTAAATTAGTCCTCCCAGAAATGAAATTACGTGTCTACAATGATAGGATCCCACGAGAATTGCGGCTAAGTATCGAGCGAGTTATTGGACCCGCCGATATGCCCGAGCCTCCACCACCAAAAACTTATTAGTATCCAAATTTAGGTGTTAGAAAGACGTGCAACCTGTCCCAGTCAGTTGAAAAGGCGAATGAAGTACTGCTACTGCAAATGCAAGAAACCAATGTGCCTTACTTGCTGCCTACAAATATGCATTGACTGCAAACGTACGTAGTGAATGTACCAAATATTCGAGGGCTGTCATTATTTTTATTTTTTAACTAAGAAGTAAGATTTATGTTTTATTTTGATAATAATTTATAGAAGATAACATATTTAAAGTTCATTTGTTGTAAATTACTTAATTTTGGAGAAAAACGAGACTGAAGTAAGCCCTAAAAATTTAGTGCCAAATAATTGTGATTTCTCGAATAAATGTTGATTTTACCTGAAAAATAGCGTATATTTTTTTTAATTCTGTAGTTTGTTACCTAAAACACCAAGTTTAACGTCTCTCAGTTGTCACGTCGGCGTAAGTGGAACGTTTAGACCAGGTCGGCAGCTAAAGGTTAATAAAAGTTAATTATTGTCAGTGGTTACTGAGTAAAATTGAAGAGGAAAGTGACTTTCTTTCCCGAATTTGTTAGACTGACGAAAGCATTTCAGCAGAAACGGCATGTGGAACCAGCACAATCTCCACCATTGGGCACCGAAAAACCAAAATCCGCGCGTTTGGAGGGAGTCAGATTTTCGGTAAATGTTTGGGCAGTTATTCACGGTGTCAACATCATTGGACCCGTATTCGTTGATAGGGCTTAGTGAACGGAGAATGGTTTGTTAATCTACTACATGATACGGTATCAGAATACACAAACAATCTAAATGTCCATCGACCAACGAATGTGGTATCAATTAGATGGCGCGCAAGCACACTGTAACAACAGCCAGGCAGTAGCTAAATGCTACGTTTGGTGCACAATGGATTGGTAAATTTGGACCTCATGGTTGGCCTGTCACTCGATTTTTTTTCTGGGGTGTGTCAAAGACGATGTGTACGCGGAGAACGTCGATTTGGTGAAACAATTATGCCATCGAATAATAAATGCGTTTGAGAAATTGAAGGAAATGGCTATAAATGACAATTTATTTGCAAATGTACGGGAAAACAAGAAACGCAATCTTAATTGCACTCACAATCGTCAACAAATCGTCAAAAAAAAAGTCAACACTAACACCTCACTCGCGTGTGCTTTCTGTGCATTTTCTATGTCGCGCTCAACCCCCGCTTCTAAGCGGCGTGATCCCTTGGACGCTTCCTTTTCTGCCATATCTGGCTGCACTGCGCGCACTCATTACGGAATGTTGATGAACCCAACTTCTCACGAAAGGTTCCACTTGCGTATTCCGCTCTTCATCATCCTCGTTCGGGTCGATCTCCTCTTCCCGATTGAGGTGTGCTAGCTCCAATTTAATAACGTTGCTGCTGCTTCAGCTTGTTCAAGCTTTGAGCGTTCGAATTCAATCCGCGCTTCGAATTCTGCTTTCAGCCGGGCCGATCGAAATGACCTATTACTGATTTCTTGATGCATTTATGTTTAGCTAGTCGACTACCATTTACTTCGATGCCGCTTCTTCGGTTCCAGCTTGACCGTTGCTTTCGGTTATCGCTTCAGTTCTGAACTCAACAGACTTCTGTGTGACGCTAGACTGCATACCAATGGCTTTCATCCTGCTGCTCGTTGCTGCTGCAGACGTTCTTAAATCCCACGTATTCGTGGAGGTCTTTGTGATAGCTCCACTCGATGTAGTAGCTGTGGTCGCTCCAGATGATTCAGTTTCTTTTGCCTTCCCTTCCTTGACACCCCTGTTCGTGTCCTGGTGCACTCGATCCACTCATTTTGTTCCTGTGCCTTCTTCATCTTGCAAGAGGGGAATATATATATAATAGGCCACTATTATGTTCGCAAAGCTTTACCTCCCTATTAAAACCCTTACATTCTCTATGGGTCCCTATTGGTCTCTTTCAATCTTAGGATGGAGCCTACCATGGTCAAACTTATCTCGTTTTTATCTATATTTATTGCTTATAGCTCTATAATGATTTCTTATATTTACGCGAACACTACACATTGATTAAAACTACTTTCACGGATTTTATCGCGTTTATTTTACTATTATTATTTTTTTTAATTCCCGACGTTTCGGGCGCTTTCCAGCACCCATGGTCACGGGGGACTGAGATGACTGACGTCCCGATGTCATTGTTAAACCCGGAGTACCTTCAGCTTTTTTTAATTATTGTTTATGGTCCGATCTATGCAAAATGAACTGACTATGTCCTGAGGTCTTGCAGTGGTATGCTTGGGTTTAGTTTTAATTTTATTAATTATAGGACACCATTACATCAGATTTGATAGACCACAAATCCTCGCGAAAGATCACCGATTCCTACCAAGGATGATCCGTGAGGCTATTGAAATTAAAAAACATCTGATTTCAATAGAGAAGGAGGCTGTTAGGTACTACCACCTGCTTGGGATCCTATAATTAATAAAATTAAAACTAAACCCAAGCATACCACTGCAAGACCTCAGGACATAGTCGTTCATTTTGCATAGATCGGACCATAAACAATAATTAAAAAAAGCTGAAGGTAATCCGGGTTTTATAATGACATCGGGACGTCAGTCATCTCAGTCCCCCGTGACCATGGGTGCTTTTAGCTCTCTTAATAATTCTTCTCTAAAAGCAGGCCAATCAGCCTTTCTTGTATTAAGGATTCTCGTTGTATTCGTGTGTCTATCTTGTGTTGGTTTGTTAAACTTAATATTGAAAAAAATTGAATTGTGGCCAGAACTAGTAACAGTTTTGTCCACTCTCCAGTCACTCACTGCACCGAGTTCTGTTGAGCATGCTGTAATGTCAACGTGACTCTTAAGGTGTTCCCCTCCTCTGATGGTAACGAATGTTGGTTCTTTGCCAATATTTAGAAGTTGTAGGTCGAGTACCTCTAAGGTTCCTGATAATGCTTCTCCTCTAAAATTCTCTGAGGCACTTCCCCACCATGTACTCCATGCATTGCCATCCCCTCCCAATAATATTTTGTTAGTTCCTATTGTTTGTGTTATATATTTTATGGTGTCCAAATAAGGCTCTATTGGCAAATAGTCTTCTATGTAAATTGATATAACACCCGGGGTCCACTCGCTTGTTTTTAATATAGCTACAGCTATATTTTCTGTAGTCAATGTAGGGCTTTCGATAATCTCTATATTGTCGTCAAAGACCACTATGGCTGCCTTTATAGGCTTTGTCGTATTCCGATTTCGCTGGACCACACGAGTTCCAGCATGTCTTTTGAGTTCGCCCTGGGAACCTATATACGGTTCCTGAATTAAAGTGAAGATAATCTTTTGTTTAGTTAGCCTGTATGACTTTATACATTTGAAAGTTTTGGGGGGCAGTGCATTCGTTGCAGTGCCTTTTGCGCTCACGTGGTCTTCAGCAATACGCCACCGTAGATCTAGCCAGGATGTCCCACCTTTTCTTAATAGGGCACTCTGAATCGAAGGCGCTGTGGTCATATTTATCCAATTTAGCATGAAAGCAATTTCAGCATGATGGCGCGTTTCCTGCAAGCCATTCCGCTCTCATGTGTGGAACACTACAGTGGCTATATGTCAACTGTTTCTTTGCAGAATTTGCACCCATGACCATATCTCAGCCTGCGCGAGCACTGAACTAACGGTGTCTGGTCCGACACATATACACGCTGCAGATCGATGAGTTCTGCCACTATCAATTGCTGCCATACTTAAAGTGAGACCTGCAAAATGATGTGGTTTACATGAAGATTTCTCGTCTTTCGTCGATGTTTTACGACGATTTAATGTCTTCAGATTTAATGTCACCTACTAAATTATTATTTTGATTTTTAGTACTACTATAATATCCTCGTCTGAGTTGTACGCTAGTACGTCCTTTAGAATAATGAGTGGATCCCTATTTTTTACCTCCTCAACATGCAGGCCCCCATCCGAGTCCAATAATATATAAAGGTAATATTCCCTTAATCAACATATCAAGTGACGTGCAGTTTCGTGGTCACTTGGAAGAGAATGACAAATTCTCATTCTCAAAGTCTAAAAAAGTTGGCATGCTCAACAGAGCGGGACAGTCTTCATGCCGGCACACCACCTTCAACTTTACAAGGCGCAGGTTCAGCCGCACATGGAATACTGTTCCCATCTCTGGACTGGGGTTCCCCAGTGCCAGCTCCTTCCACTTGATCGCATTCAGCGCAGAGCGGCTCGAATCGTTGATGACCGAGTGTTTTCCCATCAGCTCGATTCACTGCCGCTGCGAAGAGATATTGCATCACTTTGCGTATTTTATCGCATCTATGTGGTCATACCATACCCATAATTTTTATATTAATAGTAATACAACTAAGCCTATAAATCGAACTCATCTACCATATACACAAACCACGTACAAATAATGCCAACACACCGCAACAAATTACAAAATTATGTAGTTATTGTAAAAATATTGGGCATAATATTACAGAATGCCGTAAAAGAACTTATAATAATAATATAAGAAACAATCAAGCCCAACGCGCACTTCCTGCGCCTCCTATCCCAGTTAATCATTTAAACTGCCAAGCGACCAACGAGATGAGCAACTCGTTGGAAATCGCTTCAGTATCCTGTTCACCGATCCCGACTCAAGACATCGAGAACCTGCAAATATGAACTTTAGCAAATCCAACCCTATTTCTCAAAGGCGTCCTCGACCGCCGAACCATCGAGATCACACAACGCAAATAAACAGCGTACCTTCTAAATCACCGCTTAAGTGTCAGACAGAGTTGAAAAATGTGTCTACACAAACTAGCGACTTAAGTACTACATCACATACACATCACTCAATATTCAAAAATTCCAGTTCTCAAACGGAAACCTACGAACAGGGTAGCCAGCCCCAAACCCTTGGTTTTCCAAAACATGCTATTCCTTCTACATCCACTGACTCTATTACTACTATCTCTACTACATCTACTATCTCTACTACATCTACTGACTCTCTCG